AAAGAAGACTCCATTTGGCGCTCATCTTTGAATGTACTTTTCATCGGTTGATCGCTTTTCTCAACTGTTTTGCTTAATATAACATTTCTACAGATAGCTTTTATTGTGGTTCAATGGGAAAACGAGAACAGCGTGAGTGTTGTAAAAGAAAAGAAAGTCGTTGGCGCCGTGGAGAAGGGACAACAGTTGACATATTGACCGGTACAAACAAGGGTCGATTGGCCATCTGTAAAGCTATGATTTTGAAAGTTTGTGGTGAGTAAAAATTGCGATATTCGTTACGTGATCAAAATCTTATAAAAGAATAGATGTAGCGGGTTGAATTAAGCTTACATAACGCTCGGCGCAACTGAAACTAGAATAATTCTGAGAATCGAATCGGTCACTTGCATGCCGCAGTTTTTTAAGCTTTTGCTTTACAATGAAATAAACCTATCTGTAAGGTTTCAAGATTCCTTTAGTCACGTTTGGGAACATTCAAGATTCATAATAGGACCTGTTATTTAACAAACCTTATTACATAAAGAAGCCCTCCTTGGTAAAAACAAAATAATGTATTCAGCCCTTTTTTAGTAAAATCTATGAGAGAGATGTACTAACTCCAATATAAAAGTCACTCATTATAACAGAGATTTCTCAATTTGAGAATCCAATGAATTCCCTTTTCCTTATAGCCATCTTAAAGGCCTGGTCTGAGCTTTAAATATATATATTAAATTTTTTTTTTCAAATTCAGATGTCGTGGAATCCAGATACAAAATGGTCAAGCTTCTTGAAGACAACCTCATTCAAGGCCAACTCATTGTGAGCCCAGGGAAAAAAATACAAACAGCAGCTAAGTTTGCAGTTTAGGATAACTTCACTCTAATTTATTGTTACATTTACAACAAGACTTTAATCAAAAAATCAATTTAATTTATCTGTAATTAACCCCTTCACTCCCAAGAGTGCTTGGTTTTCAAATATAATTTAAAATATTGTATTTTATGGAAAAGAATCAACAGATTTTATTCACAATTTGTGTCAAACCAAATTAAATGATTGATTAGGACTATTTTATATGAATAGCTGTAATTGAGGATTAATCCATATGAAGTTTTCAAGAAAAGAAAAATAAATCAAATTCCATCCTAATATTACCACACATTGATGTTAATAACTAATCAAAAATATTTTACATGTAAGCCTTAATTAAGCTTCTAAATAAATTTCATTGAATACTTGAATTTTAGCTGGGTTTTTTTTAATTTAAAGTATTTATTTTATATCATTAGCCTCAAATTTTTGCTTAAAATTCCCAGTAATTCTTAAACATTCCTAAAAATTCCCAAAAATTCCCAGAAATTCCTAGGAGTTTTTTAGATTTACAGCTTTTCAGGGAAAGTCATTGGTTCTCTGAGTTGGAATTCCTAGGAATTCCTGGGAATTAAAGTCCTGTTGGCTATAAACTTGGAATTTCTAGGAATTTCTGGGAATTTCTAGGAATTTCTAGGTTTTTAGAACCAGAGTTGTTATGGTTGGGAATTCCTAGGAATTCCTAGGAATTCCCAGTCTGAATTTACCGTGAAAATTCACACCTTTATTCCTAGGAATTCCAAAAGCCATTTTGCAAGGGTAAACTATATTGTGTACTAGAGAAGTGAGCATTTAAAGGAAACAGTTGAAAAGACAGTATGAGAGTCCTGAGCGTGGTGTGCTCGTTAGCTAGTTCTCGCCATCACTGCAAACCAGCATATTTAGAGGAGGACATTTGGCCGCTGACACTATCGTTGATGTCTTTGGCTTCATCCAACCCTACAAAAATGATGTAATGATGAATCACTCTCAGGTCACTGAATTATTAAAGAAATCATGGAAATCCGCGATGGATGTAAAGCGAAAAACATTTTATCAAATCATGGAAAAATGCACAAAGCTTTGTATGGAAGAATAAACGATGAACTTCAGTTAAACATAATGGTAATAAGACTGAGTGGACTCCATTTCGATCTGTGATCATACGAGTGATTAACAAAAGTTGGACGACAGAAAGTCCCATTTCCAATTAATCATAACCGTTCGCAATTTCAGAAAAATAAAGAAAAAAAATACATTTAGGACAAACAATTGCAGTGGAGACAATGTCTAAAAAAAAGTTTTATCCAATTTGGAAATTCCTCAGTTTTTTTTTTCCTCAGGATAAGTCATTGTTGCTATGATTATTGTAATTAATACTGTGATTGGTGGATTTAGCTGAGTGGACCTAATATGATTGCTTCAAGCGTCCGATTACAGGTGTCCAATTACAGGAAACTGTCCAATTACAACTGAATAGAATGATTAGTGAAGAATAAAACAGGTAATGCACCATTTATATTTGAGGAAATTGTAATGGTTATCAAGATTCATTCAGAAAATGGCAGAATGCTCCTTTCCTCTTGCAACAGCTGCTCCACAAACAAAACGAGGCAGAGTGCATTCTATTTTTGAACAGCTAAAGCAGATGTATTGCATCGTTATCATTTTGATGAATTGATCTCAACTGATTGATATATAAAACACTTCCTGCAAAACAGAATTACAAGTAGTCTATTTTACGGTAGATCAATTCAAATAAATAATCTCCGATGAACAAAGCTATCAGTTTAATTTTTAGCCAAAAAACCTGGTTCCAAAATTTTCCAGCTTCAGTATATATGTCTAACTTTCTCATGATTGTAAGCTCTAGAGAGTTGTTTGGTGACCACACAATCATTTTAAAATGCAGTCCTCAAAAAAACTGCGCGATCCACAAAAAGATTGAGGACTGTACTGAGCCTCTTCATTTCTTTCTAAGACAGTCGCATAGAGCGTTTGCTCACGTCTGATTCCTGGCAGGTAGTATAAAAACTTGAATCTGACGAGACCAACAGCAGCCCTTTTAGATGTGTTACGAGGAAACTCGCGCCATTTTGAGTGGTCCAAAAATGTTAAAGGTTATTCACATGTTGCATAGTTAAAGCCGCCTTTGATGTGTTCTTTTATGAGCGATTATTACTGAGTCCAAGCAACATCTTAATCGTACAATCTCCACTACAAATGTTAGACATATCTTGCACTCAACCAGTCAATGTTATCTTTACAGGAGTCATAGATCTGTTTGGTGCAGCGGGCGGATTAGTGGAATTTAAGGCGTCACTTTTGGCATCTCATGGATTTGCTACTCTTGCTTTGGCCTACATGGGCTATGAAGATCAACCATTGCTGCCATCTTCAATAAACTTGGATTATTTTGAAGAAGCTGCCAACTGGCTGATAAGTCACCCTAAAGTGCTTCCAAGTGGTATCGGCATGCACACTGCATGCTATGGCTCATGGATCGCACTGTTGATGGCAAGTTATCAGATCGCACCAATAAAGGCCACTGTAGCTATTTCACCTCTGGTAATCGCCTGCTTACTCCCTTTCCAATTAAAAGGGAAAGTCTCAGACATAATACCCCTTGCTGAGAGCAAAGTGGTTTGTTCACAAAAGGGCACCATCTATCGTTTCGCCCAACCAACTGACATTGACTACATGGATCCAACAACAGTCTCCAAATACTCAGCTATTACACCAGTTGAGAACATCAATTGCCCTGTCCTGCTGGTTTCTGGAACTGATGACTTGTACGTCCCCACCGATTTTACAGTAAAGTTCATTATTGATCGCTTGAAGGAGAATGGAAAAGAACATTTGTGCACTAACTTGCGTTATCCCCAAGCGGGACATGTCATTGAACCACCCTACTCTCCTCTTTGTGATATTTCTTTCAACAAAGTTGCTAAAGAATTGGGTGGTTACCCTTACGTAGCTTGGGGAGGGGAGACTGTTGCACATGCCAGAGCACAAGAAGACTGCTGGCCAAAGATTTTACATTTTCTGCGAAAACATCTCCAACAAGACACAGAGATAACCACAGGTCACCGAGGCTTTCATTGGATCCAACATTAGGTTCCACAACACACAAAAATTGCACGTGCTAAGAGACTATAATCTCTTGCATGTGCCCATTTAATTGTATGGGTGGCCCAGTCCCACGCAGTAGCTAATTAAATCATTTTGGTTCAATGTCCCTAAGCACTATGCCTGCACGTTTTGAATTGCTTTCATTCAAAGCTTTATGCGGCTATTTTCTTGAAGTTTCATAAGTTCTTCTTGTAAACAAAATGAATTGAAAATTATCCATTCAATTCAGTTGCACAGTAATCTTTAATTCAATTAAAACCGAGTAAAGTCAAAATATTTTTTTTAACGTTTTGATCAAAACAAGAAATGAATCCTGGAGTGACGAACTAACTCACGATAGAGGAATGCCTTTAAAATAGGCGGCCGTGATTTTTAGGAGTGCCTGTAGGGTATCTGAGCAACATTTCCAAAGAAAATTATGAGCTTGTATTGTGGTTCAAAACGTCCTAAAGCCCTCTGATTTTACAATTTCCACGGGAAGGGGGGAGGGGTGAGACTTATACAAAGCACATAGCTCTGTAGACAAATTAACCAAGCAGAGTCCAAGCACTAGGAGCAATGGTGTTTAAAATAAAAAATATTGCCCAGTTTTAAGTTTATGGATCCGCGTGCAATTTTGGGGAAGTATTTTATTGAAAGCAATGAAGTACTGTGCAATGTTTGCATAGCCTCATCTTTTCTAATCTAAGGGGTTGAAATACCCTGTTGTGCACACCTACTACTCCGTCTAGGGTTTTCATAACTGCATAGAATCATGCCAACCCGGTCCTGCTTGGATGGGACTATTTAAACAGGGAAAAAGACCTCTTTTACGTAAATGCTGTCTACATATCATTGATTGTTAATATAGACATTTTAACACTTTTTCTTGATATAATTTCTTGTTTTGTTTTGTTTTGTTTTCCTTTTTATCAATTACCCTACACTTGTTTATATGGGTACTCAATTATTTTTCCTTTCTTTAACCCAAAAGATTTACAATCAAAATTTTTATTAAGATATTAATTAAAAAATTGATTATTTACTCTCCTTAGGTATGGAAAAAAATGACTGCAAGGGAGGAATTTGCTCTGAAAGCTTTTTAAGAATGACTTATCTTGTGTGATTGGTAAAAAAACTGTGCTAAAATGAATATATGTAATTCAGTCAAAGAGCTTCACCCTTAAACTCACACAAGTGATTAACATGTAATTTCTCACTTTGGTATCCACACATTGTGCAATAAACAGGTTATGAGAATGCTCTGCTCTATCAGATATAATTTGTTATTGTCATATAACACCAAAGTCTCGTAACTGATATTCAAGGAAATGTAAATCAGCTTGAGGGGAGAAGTAACAATCAGATTTAGGGAACCAGGTAAAGGAATAACAGGGAACAAAATCGCATGGGAATACATGCAGTTGGTTGTTATCGTTATTGTTGTTGTTTTCTATCAATGTATCGGCTGCCTGATAAGAATGGAAACAAGTCCTTCCTAGCTTTCACTTAGCCTCAGTTTTAATCGAGATAATTTCAGACAAATAAAATGTACTATTTTTTTTCAGAGGGCACGGTAACGAATCCTGCAATCTGATTGGTTCTTTACCCGGTCAGTATTTTCTTATCTCTGCCCACGGGCCGCGGTAACGCTTTCGTGAGTCGCCGTGTACATCCCAACTTTCGTTGCCATTTTCAATAAATATATCTCGTTTTTCCAGCCGGGCAGTATTTTTAAGCAAAGACGTTGGTCACTACCTCAAGCCGATAAATAACTTATTAATCCTCTCTTTTCTCTCTCTCAAATCACTTTGGTTGACAGAAAAATATTGGTCTCAGAATGAATTTGTATTAGCAATAGTGTCATTACGTGACAAGCGGCCCAAAAACTGTCTATAATAAATTTTATAATAAAGTTCGGATATAACGCACGCTGTCATTGGTTGAAAGAGCGTGCTCTATGAGAGTATAGAGCATAGAACTGAGCTAAAGCTGTCACGCCATCTGCCAAATTGTACTATGTTCGACCTTTTCCGGGACTTCTTTTTAGCTTTTTTCCGATAATTGAAAGGGAAATTTCGGAACAAGCGAGCCGGCAAGTAGCAAAAAAAGAAAGGTTTGTAAACATACCAGGCGCCGTAATTTACGTTATTAAAACGTAAGCAGATACGAAAATCCTCAAAGGAAAAACAAAATAGACATTCCGAGTTTTAAAGATTTTCACGCTCAGTTAGATTGCAAGCTTACGCACGGTAATAAAAATCAAACACAGCCAACACTCATATAGTATATAAAGTTCAGAGTTCAAAAACAAAACAGAACAAAACAGAAATGATGAAAAATATAACCAAACTGGCATAACTGTTAAAATTCATACTAATCATGAGGGTGTCTGAGCAAATATGATCATGCTGAAGTCCATCGCGGCTCGCTTATCATGGCGATCTCCGGTCATCACAGTAAAGCAAGCCTCAGAAACTACGTCGGCCGCCCTTCGAGTGAAAAAATAAGAGCTCGCTTTGATATCCTTTCCGATGTGTTGAGTGGAAAGTCACTTCAGTCACTGCAGCCGAGTTTTGCGGCGCTGTCATCCGGAGCGATCTTCATGTTCCGGTGAATTCGACTGTCGTTCATTTAAAAAACACTCGCCTTGAACAGTTTGTTTTCTACCTTGTCATGTGAAAAAACTCGCGTGCTTTTTTTTAGCCATAATTCGGCTGAAGTTCACTGAACATTTCACTTCAAGATTCTGTATTTAAAACTTCAAGCAAAAGCCTTAAATTCGACTTGCCGAACTATTTTAGTTTGTAAACTATCGGAGATTGTGAACTTTGATGGTTTGACACTTTTGACAGCTTTTGTCTTGTACAGCCAATCAGATTATTTGAACCATTCTAACAGGGATTCTGATTGGCTTATTGTAGCGTGCTCTATGAGAGTATAGAGCATGCTGACGACACTGTTGTTCGCTTTGGAAATAAAGTTTGTTTTGAAAATTGAAAGTAATGCATGGGGAATTTAACAGATTCTTTATTATAAAACAAATAGAGAAGCCTTGACTGTGCTCTGTTCTGTTATAAAGCACTTAGGAAGCGGCTAGAGAACTCAAGAAGTGGAGAGAAACACTCGACTACGTCTCGTGTTTCTCCCTACACTTCTTTCGTGCTCTAGCCGCTTCCTGCGTGCTTTACAACAGAACAGAGCACAGTTAATTTTAATCGTTCACAACAAGTACCTAAAAAGTTAAAACATGAAGTATTTGGTTAAAGTTGAGCTGATCGATGAAACTTTCATTCATTTAATATCTGAATTTTCTCAAACAATTTTTTCATAGTGAAAGAGCGAGAGCGAAGTTTTGATTTCAGTTTTACAACAAATGTACGCTCTTCGTGAGTCTTTCCAAGTCCGTTCAATTTGGACATTTGTACCGTAAATTGCACAACAGAAACTGGAGGAATTCAATGAAAAAAGGCCGTATTAAATCTTATTGTGTCTCATTGGAGTGCATTTGTGGAGGAAAGACCAGATTTACACACGTCTTTGCAGCAAACAAAAGAGCAAACCCTCACAACTTAAAAATAAAAAATTTGAATTTGCTTACAATTACTTTCCTCGCCGTTTATATAATGAACAGAGGTAAATCTTCATACATGAATTAATCGTCGATGAGAGTGAATAATACTTTCCGTTAGATCATAGACTGTTTTTGAAGAAAACATTGTCGTGACAGTCCTTGCCGAACTAGTTTCGTTGTTTTTCAAAAGTGTACGTGCGCATTTTTTTCCTTACGCGCTCTCTAATTGACAGGTGTCAGATGGTGACAGATACTTGTAAAAATAATGTTTCAAAGTTTGTTTGGAGGCCTTTTAAATCATCTTTATCGATACGCAAATGAAAATGTTTCGGTGAAGTATCTCTCTTTAATTTGCATCACCTCTATTTTTACTACCATCTACTCGCTCAAAAACTGTTCTGTTTATGGAAGATCTTGTCGTATCTACAGCCCTAAATCACTCAGGTTCTTTCGCTAAGTTAAAAACAAATAAATATATTATTTACCGGCTAAGGATTGGTTCGTATGGTGAAAAACTGTGACCTCGGTCACAATTTTTCACCACACGGACCTCCCAGCCGGCAAATAACATATATTTATACATGACCTGCACTGCCCTGCACGTATCTTATGTTGTAATATATCAGGCAAAAATCCCTGTATGAGGGCCATACCTGTTGACGCAACCAGGGCCATTCAAAGCTGTAAAGCCCCCAGTGAGCTAAAAGAAGAAAACGTCATGAGCTCGAACCGACCATTTTCCCTTTCAGTTCTTCTACTCAGTTTAAAGTGCATATTATTTTGCGGATGAATTTTTGTTTTACGTAATAACAACTTATTAGTAACACACCTGACTGACTTTCGAAGAAGCAGAATGCAGGAAGTTGTCACCACGGATCTAGTTAAATGGCCTAGCTTGCCACAAGTCTCCTATAGCTCAGTGGTACATCATCCGAAGTACTACTCGGGAGGTCGTAGTTTCGACTCGGAGTTCTTTTTCTCCGAGTACGTATACCTAAGTATGTTGTTCACTAGGCAGCATCATCTTTTACTTGAATCACCAAGCGTAAATTTATCATCATTTTTGCGCAAAAGCATCAAATATCGACATCCCTATCCCAGCAGTATGCAGAATATTATCATCATGGATTCAATTAAAACGGCCTCACCTTCCACGTTAGGACATTGAGTCCCAGTTTTTATCTAGCTTTTCACAACTTCCAATGGTCTACGATGAAAATAGATAACACATCTATGCAAGATTGGAATGAACCCATTTCTCGAAGATCTTGCTCGAATGGTCGGGAACGTTAGCCGTGGTCGCTATCTTTTCAAATGAGGAGTGTCTGCTTTCGTAATAACGCACAACTATGATGGCCCTCTTTCAATAAAAACCGGCTATATCCCATTTCTGATAACCTTGAACAAATGGAAAAAAGTAACAACTGTGTAATAACAAATACCTTTTTATTCATCCCAAGCGTTGTCAGGGATTTTCTTGAAATGAAATTGGAGATAGAAAAGATATAGGATATTTTATCTACTCTGTTTCTAGATCTAATTTTGTCTAAAACTAGATTTAGGTAACGTACTCTTTGTAATGATATTGAAATCTAGGAAACGTTGTTTGAGAAAATGAATAAGAATTACAAATAAAAATTGAATCGTGTGAAGTAAGGATGGCGGCTTTCTGCTCATCTGTCTCACACTTGTTTGCTCTTCCTTCGCTGTGAAATTTTATCACGCTGCAACTTTTAAATAGGTAATATTTCCTTTTAGCACGTTGTAACCCGGAAGTCCATGTATTTTGCGAAACTGTTGTACGCCATAATCTCTTTCTTCTCGTGTCACCAATTCTAAAAGAAGATCTAAACCCTGCGGGATTGATGTGTGATCAGTTCGCAAGAGTTTTACCATAAGAGTCTTGTTAAAAAAATCTCAAAGCCTTTCTTGGCTGCTAAGAACTGCACGATGATTTTAGCTTTTCCCTCACGGGCAATGATACAGACAGCCACCAAATTTAACAGTAATACGAAGGATTTCTGGTGAATCCGAACTTTTTCAGTGTCTCAGGAAAAATGATCTGATCGGCTGAGCTGCGCAAGAAAGTAAAAAAGATTGGTGGAATTCAAGTAGTTTTTATTCAAAGACGCAAAATATTTGCATAATGATCGCTCGTTATTTCAAATTCTGCCTCTGCAACACCTTTTGCTCTCGTTTTGCATTTGCATATGGAATAAAATATTTTTCTGTTTTGTTTGGCCTGGGTGACACGTTTTTAGTAAAGAAAGCTTCGTTTGAATGATTTCGACCGTTTGAGATCTAGGTACTAGGAAAGTAATCGACTTGCTACGGGCAGGGGGTAGGTTGGGGGAGCAGAGGGGGAGCAGTAGTTCTTGATGTATTATTGTAAGTCTTCATGAGAGTTTACAGACGCACAGAATTACGTGCCCCCGTCTTATAAGTATCAGAGCTCCAATTCTACATTTTCTAGCTATTTCTACTTCTTTTATTACTTCATTTAATTTTTTCTCAATTTGTAATGACCTGAGTAAACTTGAGTTCCCACAACTGCAACTCAAAAATCGGTTTTTTTTGTACGTCTTGCGTGCCTACGCTGCGCGTCAAAACTGCCGTGGTAAGCTGGGCCTAGCGCACTCACGCGGACTTTGCGGTGGCGGGCTCAAGAAAATTTTGAATTGATTGATCATTCGGACATTCATCGGAAATACGTAACGAGTTGTTTTAGAACGGGAGGTAAAAGCTGTGAGGGGATTATCTATGAGTTACGGAATGCGACCATTTTAATGGGTTTATACTCGTGACATTAAATCAATTTCTGGCTTGTATGTCGGTGCTCCGACATGATACAAGTCTTGATCACGTTCTCAAGCCGTCATACGTACAACAAAGCCTCGCTCGTCAAGTGTACACACGCTATTGACGATTTGAGGACATGAAATGAATCCAGATAGACTTGGTCGAATTCCACCGCCAACAAGGCGACTTGTAGTGCGAAAAGCGAACAGCCAGAGGGATTTACGTCCTATCACCGAACGGGTGAGTATTTTACGGTGTTTTTGTTCCGTTCCTTCGACGAAATGTAGGCACTTATAGTTTACTTCCAAATATAATTTGAATGCTTCTTGGCGAGTTTACGGATTAATTAAAGCATACTGTCCGAGTTCTCCAGGATTATCCTAAGCTTATTTTATTTGATTTTTTTTCCTTCTAGGCGACTCTCGATAAGGTTCTGGGTTTGACAGTCTCCAGGAACGCAGCTTTAGCCTGTGACCCGTTGTCTGGAGTAGTCGCTTATCCGGCCGGGTGAGCCAAACTTTTTATAAATCCAGACATTTCTTGTCGTGAATTTTGCCAGCATACAAATTAATTTTGCCTCAAGGAATGGCGTGGGTTATATAATGTGGTTAAGTTTATTTTCTGGATAATATTTTCGCCTCTTTGAGGTGTCGGATAAAGAAATATTTCGCCGATAAAATGTGTAAATAACAGGAGGTTGCACTGAAGGAAAGGAAGATTGTACGTGACGACTTGTTGCTTGAGATACATGATATGTAACTAACTTACTTAAGAATCCTTTTTAATTTGCAGCTACATAATTTGTTTTCACGAAGACAAATGGACGACGCTTATCAAAATATTACAACTCATAATAATAAGGAGGTTATCACAAGCAAAAATATTCTTGCGAAAACCTATTGTTAAATTTTAATCACGACTTGGCTGTTTCTTCCGAGTAATTATTTGGATTTTGTTCTGGGCTGTTGCTAGTTCAGTGATCTTGTTGAATAATTTCCTCCGGATAAATAAAAAACGTGAAGAAAAGGCGACACCGATGTTCGCCGTATTGTTTTCATGCGAAAAAAAAAATGCTGAAATAACTTTGCTCCGCTGGAAGCATATATAATTCATAATTTTTTCTCTGATCTCACACGTCTTTTTTTAGAAAACTGGCGTTGACGTTGAGCTAAATAATTGCATCCAAAATGAAATATTTAAGCTATACTTTAGCCCTAATCGGACGTGTTGACTGAAATTGCTGGTAGTTCTGTTGATAATATAACGGCAGTTGAAAATTGCATACAGGTTGACTAGAATTGAAAGAGTACAAAAAAAGTTATTTCTTGCGTGTAAATTGTATGTTCTTCTAAATTGTGTCTTCGAATATTGCAAGAGGAACGGAGAACTCAAGCTTTAAAACTCCCTGTTAAGCACTTTAGGAAAGAATCAAATTTAATCGCCGCGGCTAGTTTCCTGGAGAGAGTTATTATGGTTTCCTAGCTATTCGCTCTTTGTCTTTTATTCATTTGTTATATTTCGATATTGTATTTGCTCGCACTTGAGGGCAGCTAAGTAATATTTTCGAGCGATTTCAGAAACAGTCTCGATTCGGCTAGTTTTTTTCACTCGTGAACCGCAAGGTCAATTCTAATCTTTTCGATCGCTGCGTCTAGAGGGGCAGTTGTTATTGCATACTTCACAGCTGTTGAGACATCACGATACTCAGTTCGTTGTCAAGTCATACTATATTTGCATTTTGTTTTGCTCTAGGAAGGGGTAATTAGAATAATTACTCGCTTACGAAGAATGAGGTATATATTATGAGAGGAACAAAGTAAAATTAAGTCGATCAAATGATTGAATGATCTAGGTACATCTATTTATTTCCCTTAGGGAATGACCATTCTTAAAAGTGAGAAATGTCCCATGGAGTTTGGTATGAAATTACCTGTAAATTTGACAATTCGTTTATTCAATATTTGCTTCATGGCAGCATGTTTTGTTTTGTATTTGACAGCATGACCTTGTTTTTGAAAATTAAAAGATAAGCTTCCAAAAATCAACATGGTAACTTTAGAGTTTTCTTGAAACTAGAGAAGAAGTTTGAAGGCCCAGGTTAGATATGTGGTTTGAACATGGACTATGCAAAACTAATTGATTTGTATCAAATATCACAGGTCACCGTATATTTGATATGCTTGACCGACACATTTAATATACTTAATAGGCGTAGGTTGTTTCGAAACTGAAGCATGCACAAAGTTTATGCAGTGTAGTTGGCACACAGTCAATCTTTGCTGATGCCATTAAAATTATGAATTCACAGTCAAAGAAAGAAAAAGCTTCCCAGCACCATATTGCACTAGTTACAATATCTGTTTACAGTGTCGTCCTTCTAAAAGGAGAGAAAAAAGCTTGGCCACTTGGTCAATATACCCATCTTTCTTTAATGTGGACATTACATTATAAACCAGTCTTATTAACTCTTCTTCATTCTCTCTGCTTCTTTCTTGAGTGTACTGTACATGTACCAAATATTTAGCACACAGTCATATGTATTTAAATCTCCATGCGTGTTTGAGTGGTGTGGCTACTTGCAATTCAACACACAGGAACGGAAAGCATCAGATGCATAATTTTGCTGTTCGAGTGGTGAACAGACAAAAACAATTGAAAATTTGATGTCCATTAAGTTCGCTTAGGTTTAGAATGAGGTATTTACAAGGCAAAAATATATTTAAACAATAAAAGCCAAACATTTTTTCATTAGTTCATCATCAGGGTACATCATGATATTATATTATGATACTGTTGCCCAAGCAATAATACAAATTTCTCCTTCTCAGGCAGTAATACATAAAATTGCCTGTAGTACCTACGATAACGTGTAAAATCACATGGAATTCTTCAAAATTCATCAGATAGTATGATTGCTGTACCAGTTTGAAAATTTCTTTTAGCTTTTGTGTTATGCAAATGTATCTGCTATTTCCTCCTGTACATTTTCACAGAGTTGAAAGTTGACAATTCCTGTTATTTTCTTTACTAGATGTGTGGTGGTCTTGTTTAACCCTAGGAAGAACCAACAGAGTTTTGTCCTAAATACGTCCAGGTAAACAAAAGTTGTTCACACTAGATGTATATAGAGGAAATCAGAAAGCAGCTGACCATGAATATAATTCATAGTTTCCTGTAAGTTTACAAATTTTATTGGTTGATTCTGTAGCCCCCATTTTACAGATGTGTTGCAGAAGTTTCAGTAAAAGCTGATTGCAAACAGAAGGTGGCATATCCTTAACTTTGTTCCCCATCTGTCACTGATGGATTAAAACCTTTGACAATTAACTTGGAAAGTTTTGTAATATAACATGGTGCATGGTTAAAGTTATAAGGTGATTCAGAACTTCTTTACAGCCTTGTGAAAATTAACCCTAGATTATTTATTCTTGCAGGAAGACAATCACTTCTGTGGCTTTCTCTGGTGATGGAAAATATTTGGCAACAGGAGAAGTAAGCTTTCAGTTTGATATCTCATTCAATATTTCTGGGTGCAAGTTTTTTTTGACAGACCTGGTAACCTTGTGATTCGATGATATTGTTCTTCTGCTCCTGAATCACTATTGTGTGACTTGTACAACCATACTTGCACTATTCCTGGACAACTTTTTAGAAAAAACCCTGTATGAGGATAGTATAGAACAGTGTGAATGGGGCTGGAAAAAGCCATAAAGCCCTAGAAGGTACAAGCTGAAAGAAGAAAGGAAAAAAAGGAGAGAGATTGAGGGTCATGTAATGAAATGCTTCTTGACTGAGTTAAGGTGGGAAAGACATTCATGGTTGCATCACTGAACCAGTCTGTATATCATAACCTTGAGCCAATTATTTTCTGGTTAGTCATCTCACTCAGTCAATTTAACAAATAGATTCCAAGTTGCCAAGCGTCTGTTCAGTAATAGATCACAGATGACGTCAAAATGTGGTAAGAACAAAAAAAAAGGCACCTGAGGTGTGGCCGAGTGTGTCACTGATGTTCTTACCACATTTTGACGTCCTCTGTGATCTATTACTGAACAGATGCACGGCAACTTGGAATCTATTTGTTTTATATAATAAAGAATTTAAATATACGGAAAAAAAGTTTTAATATTAATGTCATCTATACGTCTTTACAATAGATTATAAATGAGAACCAATCAGAATGCATGCATAACTGAGCTTATTATATAAAAGTAGATAGTTTTCCCATTTATAAGCTGCAGGTGCTCTGATGCAATGTTAAGCTCTTTGGACTGGTAGGAGTACTTCTAGCCGCTCAAATAGCATTGTTGTAGAAAGTAGAAGAAACCTAGGCTGTGTAATTCAAAACAGAGAAGTTTTGAGAATTTTTCTTTTTTACTTAGCTTTTTTTCTTTTGCAATCTCTTGAATAGAGTGGTCATATGCCATGTGTGCGTGTGTGGGACATGGAAGACCAGTCACATCCACAGATATCAGAGATGGTCAAAGGACATAAATTTGGTATTTCATGTGTGGTAGGTTAATAATAATTCATAAAAATATTAATTTCAATAATTATCAATGGCATCTCATTCAGATTATCAATGATTCCAATGTTAGTAATAGTGTTGATTTGATGATTCTGAAACTTATTTTGCAACACTTCACGTCAATGAGGAAGAGATTTCTATGAACATTTTCACAATAAAACATGAAAATGTATCTCCTGTTTAAAGCAGACTCATCATTCTAATTGACAAACTCATGTAGTTATAACTATTGTTTAAAACTATTTCCTTGTAACAAAGCTCATCCAGCTGTGATTTTGTTGGTATTCCAGTTTGAACTAGGCTAGCTTAGTTGTGTATTTATGTTCTTTAACAAGGCACATACAGTCTGTTGGTGAGAATATATTATTTTAACTATTTGGTAACTAAGTATTAGTCAGTGTATGCATGAGTTGATAGTAGCTAATGAAATCTTATTGATACTTTTGTTAGGCTTTTTCACCCAATTTGAAATATGTGGCATCTGTTGGATTCCAGCATGACATGATTGTAAATATATGGAACTGGAAGGTAGCTATGATCATACTTTAAATCTGCTTACAGGCAGTAATTTTTAGCAAGATATTTCTTGAGATAACAGATGTTCAGGTTGTTCATTGGCGTCCATTTTTTTATGTCCATGATAGATTTCAAATTACTCTTTTTTTCCTTAACAGAGTGGTACAAAGGTAGCCTGCAACAAAGTTTCATCAAAGGTGGGTTTTCTGTCATACTGTACATCAGTGGTCTTCATGCTATTCGCAAATAGAGTGGAGTTTATTTGTTGTTTTTTTTTTTTGGTTTTGTTTTGGCTTTTTAATTGCTTTCATCATGAAGGTGGAGGCTCCAAATTAAGTGTGCTCTCAAGAGAGGCACTCTGAGAGGAAAGTTCCTAATAACTTGTTCAGCAAAGAATTATGTGATGTCAGCCTGTGATATATTTTAGATAATTATTTACCTACATTAGTGTCAATCTCTAGGCAAGTTTAGATTTTCCAGCTTTGGTCATTTTTGTTTAAAATGCCACAACAATCAAGTGAAATTGATTTTCATTAGTCAGACTTCAATTTTCTTCATGCTGGGTTTTTTTTTCTCTTTTTTGTCAGGTTTCAGCACTTTCATTTTCTGAAAATGGTAGCTACTTTGTTACTGTTGGTGTCCGTCATGTGAAATTTTGGTATTTTGACACTGAATCAAACAAATCTAAGGTGAGGAAAGTTAAAATTTATATTTTTTTTAATTGATCTGAAGATATAATATCTGTTTGTTGTCTGATGATTGAGAAATCTTTTGTTATGAAAATAATTTTGATCACTTGGGGAAAACTTTTAACTGGCCTACTTAAATGTTCTGTGTTAATTCCAATCTGGCAGGTTTCCAAGACACTGGTAATCAATGGGCGAGCTGGACTTTTAGGAGAGCAGAGGAATAACACGTTTTGTGATGTAGCATGTGGTCGTGGAGTTAACTCTGATATCACTTACTGTGTGACTAGCTCAGGATTATTGTGTTCCATCAATAGCAAGAGAGTGCTAGACACCTGGGTTGAGCTCAAGGTACCTCACAATAAATACTATCCAATTTTCAACCATTAGTACTGTTTAAGTAGTCCTGGGATTTTATAACAGGTCAGACTACTCACCGGTTAGTTGACAAATTTAAGTATCACTCAGTCTCTGCTCTGTCCTCTCAATGAAGCACATGTTGTGTAGTAATGATCAGGAAGAATGAAAGTTTGCAGCAAAAATGTTTGCTGCCAAGATTTTATAACAGGTCAGACTACTCACCGGTTAGTTGACAAATTTAAGTATCACTCAGTCTCTGCTCTGTCCTCTCAATGAAGCACATGTTGTGTAGTAATGATCAGGAAGAATGAAAGTTTGCAGCAAAAATGTTTGCTGCCAAGTCATCTTTTGTGGAATCTCTTTTGTGCTTGGTAAAGTTATTGGTTGTGTTTTTTATTGTGTCCTGGCATCCCTTAGTCTGAAATTTCCAATCACATGAACAACAAGCAGTTCCTTGACATTTTGTATGGTGTTATACCATGCAAAGATCTCACCAAAGCCTTATCAGGCGGAAAATTTATGAAGGAACTTCTTTAGTAAATAAAATCAGTAATATTAACCCCATCAGGAGGTATGACATTACTCTGTATGATTTTCATTTGCGAGTTTATTGTGTTAGCTTTGCCATCAATTATCATAACAGTAAACATGTTTGTTACATGTAATTCTTGTTGTTCCAGACATCTAAAGCATATGCATTGGCAGTCAGTGAACATTACATTATATGTGGATGTGCTGATGGAATAATAAGGTAACTGAGTGAAAGAAGATGTCATTCTGCAGTCAATGATACAGGCATAAAAAGAGTGCTCCAAATAGGATTTTGGCCCACAATGTAAACTATTGGGTCCACAAGTAATTGTGATAGCCATTAAAGTCTATTTAATTTTTTATTTATTTATTTATATATTTACCTATGAGCTTCTGATTAGTTCGTCGGATGCTCTACCACTGATTATAAGAGACTCTTAGCAGGCTAGGCCATTTTAGTAGGTCCATTGTGACAAACTTCCTGTATACTGCTAGGATATGAGGATGATAGAGAGTTCATAGTTATTAGATATTCAAACTTAGTCACAATTCAAGTCTCTGAATTATCAATCTGATTTTTAGTGATGGTTTATTTCATTATTATATCTTTGTATTTGTTTGTCAGAGTTTTCAACCCGTTGAAGTTACAGTTTATAGTTACCATTCCAAAGCCTCATTTTCTGGGTGTTAATGTAGCAGAAGGCATTGATTCCAGGTAAAGTTAACATGCTTTTTTATACAAAGGGAGCGTGATTTGAATTGAGAATACATTTTTCAGTTAATCCAAGAGGTGGATTATTGGGACTTAAGCCTAAAAATAAAGTAGTGTCCGTGCCATAGTTAAAGGTTCGCTTTATGGCGTATAAGTCTGGTTAATATTTCTTGCTGTGTTAGTTAACTTCATTCTAATTGTCTTTCCAGTAACCCTTTGTCAAAACCTGAGCAGGCAGCTTATCCAGACGCCGTTGCTGTAGCGTTTGATACAGTAAACCATAAGGTACGTTCATGTCTTTGATTTTATCACATTTTATGGTGACAAAAATTATTGACAGGCAAGTCTTTTGCTTGAAACGGTTTGACAGTACGATGTAGCCGTGGGTCAAGGAAAATCTGGCAAACCTGGCACACCATGTAATTTGAGTGTGGATCACGAAAAGTCATAAAATAGGAATGAAAAGTATATTTCGAGAACATCTAAGAGAATAATGCTTTTACTACATGCCTTGACCCTTTTCACGTTGTTTTGAATGCATTTTCTTATTCTGAGTCACCTAGCCGAAAATTTTCTTTCTAATTTTCTTATAGCTGACGTGTGTTTATAACGACCATAGTCTGTACACATGGGACGTGAAGGACATGAAAAAGATTGGAAAAGCTTGGTCGTCACTTTACCACAGCACGTGTGTATGGGGAGTTGAGGTAAACTTTAAGTTTGGCGGAACAGATCTGGCAGTCTCAGTTTTTACCCTCAGGTAGCCAATAGGAACACGGGACCAGCTTCATCTGTCCCACTTACAGATTAAGTCAGCCACACAATATAAATTCATGTGTAAATAACGGTCCTGTAAACAGAGACGTGAACTGTTTACTTGCTTGTAGGTGTTAACTGAGTCAGGTGGGGCCTCATGGGAAAAGGTGTGGCTCGTGGTCATAAGGTGCGAGGTCCAAATGTCATGACCTAGAGCCTAGTATTTTTCCTGTTCGGCCTGACCTGTTTTAGTCAATAAGAATTTTATCACATGACCTCCTTTATTTTTTCAACATTTTCAAGGCCGTACGGAGTGCTATGATTTTTCTTTCTCAGCTCGTGCTATCGCGCACGGCCCTCATCCAGAGATTTTACTTTATTTTCCAGAATTTTTTTTTAATAAAACTGCGTACAGGTCTTTACGGGACCCTACGATGAGGACGGTTTAAATTCAGCTCACCTCACCACATGTTTTTTAAAATTGTTGTATATTCAATGTTGCAGGTTTACCCCAATGTGACTGATAATCGCCAGGCGGCTCTGCCACCGGGATCCTTTCTCACATGCTCGTCTGATGACACTGTTAGAGTATGGAACATTGAAGAAGGTGATGATAATTTCTGTAGTCTTTAAGGTTTTCCGTATTCTATGCTTCACGATTTGGTTCCTTTTATGCCTAATTTTGATTTCATGATTTTGCTTGAGGATTTAATTTGATAGAGTGGTATGGTCTCTTTCAGGAACAAGTATATTATTTGAGAGAAACGTTTATAGTAAGGTTAGTTTGGTGCAATTTAGATGGTCCAAATTTTTTATTTTTTGTTGCAAGATTAAGCTGCATACGAGACTGACTGAAGCAGGTGCAAGGACATATACTGATTCCAGTTAGAATGTAGCGACTAGAAATATTGTTATTCCCTGTTTTAGGGAAAGTAGTCAATCGAAGGTCACCATGAAGCGTTTCTTCAATTTTCCTTACCAATTTGCTCTCACCTGTTCGTATTCATGGGTGAAGGAGAGAGAGAGAGAGGCAATGTCGCTCCACAGTATGGGTCTCTTGCCCGTGATCACGGTACAGTGACCCTTATGACTCTCACTCAAACCTTTCAATGTCGAGTTCAGAGCGCCAATAGGCAGGTCATCGTGTCTCAAACATTATTCAGCCCTGAAGTTGCAAATATCTTTGGGGAAAAGCGATAAGGGTAGCTCTTGCAGTTTTTTTGGAGCGCTTATGAAGGCCGTTACACCTGTTTCTTCTGTCTATTTCCGCGAAGCAATTGAAGATGGATAACTTCTCACCAGGAACGTCCTTGGATAAGTTGAATCCTCAGCATGAATTTGATGAGTTGTTAAAAATTTCCTGGATTTCAATTTATTTGCAGGAGATGATGAAAGTCTTATACACGGAAGATACAGTGGCAAACCTTAAAGACAATGATATTAGCCCTGGTAAGTGAATAAATATTCTTAACGAAAAAATTTTTTTCCAAACTTCCAAAGATAAAGCTGCTTGCTTTTGATTTTCTTTTTGGTAATCTGTGGTTTTCATTTGTAACAGCCATAAAGAACATGCGAGATTCTACCGGTGATACGCGAAATGCTGGAGTAAGATGTCTTCGCATTAGTCCTGATGGGCAAACACTCGCCACGGGGGACAGATCTGGAAATGTCAGGTAAAAAAAAATAGGCTGCTTTGTGTAGCAATCGACAGGAGTCTTAGATTGGACCAAAAACTGAAATAGAGTGTACTAAGATCAAAATACGTCCGTGCACTATGCTTACCTAGTGGTTACTTGCGCCAAAGTAGAAAGGAAAAAGTTTACCAACATGTTAGGTATACAACTTGGAAGCGTTGCAGAGCTTTAACAAATAAAACTTGTTAGTAAATCGTCTGGTTAATATGAATTTCTGCACGTTTAAGTACTGCCTACACAAGTAAAAGTCACGGTGCATCCGAATGATGCAGATCCCATTACAGCTACGTTATCAAGTTGAACTTTATGGGTTGAATGTCCGAGTTCTAGGTTAAACTGTGACCATACGGTTCTTTTTTTTCGCTTACGTCATCAAAATTTTGTCGATAAAATGCCCGAGATAGAGTTACCCTCAAGCATTTGCGGAAGGAAGTCAAGGCACACATATGACTTGTTTACGAAGAGAGAGGGTAAACAAAATTCATCCGGGCTTTTTGTTTACTTTTCTGGAATATTTCTCGACTGTGGAAAGCCACAGAAAAGTAAATAAAAGTGCAGAACAATCCTGATGAGCCATGGTGGATTTCGGATTATTTTCCGGTCCTGGAAGGGTTTACAAAATAATTCACTTCTCACGTGTGTTTTTTACATCAGGGTATACGATTTGATGTTTTTCGATGAAGTCGCAAAGATTGAAGCGCACGAGTCTGAAGTTTTGTGTGTGGAGTTTTCACCCAATGAATCAGGTATGAATGTCAACCCAAGGGATTTTATCTTAATATGCGGCTGGAGTTTATGTGGTAATTGTAGTTTGAGTTTTCACCATGCCGTTTCTTTCTCTTGGCAGGACACAAACTACTGGCATCCGCCGGCCGAGATCGACTCATTCATATCTTTGATATCGTGAACAACTTTGTCCTTGTTCAAACATTGGATGATCACTCAGCATCAATCACGTCAGTCAAATTTAACGGTGGGTGAAAATTAATTTCTGCTTGTCTCAAATTTGAGCCGAAAAGTTGCCTTTAAATGAGTGTTTCGTCTCGGAAACTCAATTCTGTTGACTTTTCTTCAGAAGCAATCCTTGCTCTTTGTAGGGTTTGCTACAATATATTTGTTGTAAGTGGATCATTCGACTGTAATTCTGTTGAACATTTACATTTTAGTGTCAGAATCCGATGAGTTACAGCTTCTGAGTTGTGCCGCAGACAAGTCGATCATATTCAGAACAGCCCAGCAGGTGAGGTTATCAGTTTTGCTACATGAGATAAAGAGAACGAATAAAGAAAGGTTACACAAACTGGAGAGGTCAGAAATCCAGCAGTAAACACCTTCCCCACCAGAGAAGGCTTACGTTTTTGTAGACATAAATACGTGCTGCAGGAATCATAAATGCATGACTTACACTACGTGCCCGCTCTGATGAATGGCCAACCCATTACGTCACAAGCTAATATACTTGGCTTGCTGGATTACCATATTTTTTGGGGTATGGAGCCTCTGCTTGCGTCTTCTCGCTCTCCGAGTGCTGCAGCTCCGTTGTGTGGTCAAGCAGAAACAAAAGTGTCGTGGTTCTATTTACCATTTATTTTAAATTTCCTTCTAAATTCTCGGTTTGTTATTGAAGGGGCTGGCATATGATATCCCGTCTTGTTTCTCTTGCTGCTTACCGATTATCTCCACTTTTCCATAAATAAAATATTTTTGTTTGTACTCGTACTTTGTCTTAAATTTTACTCTTCTGTGGTACTCTTACTCGAGTTGAATTGATTTTTGCTGGAAAGGAATTGGAGTTTGTCGAAATTTCGCTGTGAAGCACTTTTTAGGTCGAGCTGTTTGAGCAACCATCTCTATTCTTGTTTCTTTGCAGAATCCCGAATTTCAGTTTGTTCGAACAACGAATCATGTTGGTAAAACAACATTTTACGACATGGACATTGATCCATCAGGGTGAGTCTGGTTTATTATTAAACGAAATTGCCGAATGCACAAGATTTACGAGAAACAATTTAAAAAAAGTATTCCGGTTTTTCTTTCAGGAAATATGCTGCTACGGCTTGTCAGGACAGAGGTGTTAGGTGCGGCTGTATTCTATATTTGTGGACCTTTTTTGTTTTTGATCGTGACAAATCATGCAAAATGATTAATTATTTTTACCATTGAACTGATTTTTGTATATCAATTTCGTTCTGCTCGAAGAGTGTACGATGTAAATAGTGGCAAGCAGACGAGAAATTACAAAGGCACTCCTAGAGATGACGGAACGTTGGTTAGGGTAAGTGCTCCGCGAAAGCCTTTCATGATGTTTCCATGTGACAGTTTGGATAAGGATATTTTTACGAGGAATGAAAGTTATTTGAAAACTAAGTGGAAAATTATCCTTGGAGAGAAAATTGCGATAGACGAAAAACTACAAAACTGAACAGTAACCTCAAATGTTCAAAGTCGGAGAACTTTCAAGCGGTTTGTAGATAAAAGACATGTTATCCTTGCTCTGTTCGTAAAAGATTCCTTCAAAGCGAAGAAGATAGCGAAATACGAGTATATTCAGAGAAAGAAACGTGTGAAACAAGTAGCCGTAAGCCGAAAAACAACAAGAAAGGTTAAATTTTTGACCAGCATCTAATTTCTCCTCACAACATCACCCCTGATTCAAACATTTAGGTTACGAGAATAAAGAAGAGATCGCCAAGTAAAGAAGCTCTTGATTGTTGAACAAATTCTCCTTGTTAGAACCTTAAGAAACGTATAGAGAACAGTATGGAGAATTTGCAAACTGATGTTCGGATGTAAAGGGTCGAGGACGTGAAAGGCTGTCAGCACAGATCACAAATGATAGACGATTTTTTCTCGGCCAGGCTCGTAAATTTAGCTAAGCAGTTTACTTCTCTTCACAGATAACTTTGGACTCTTCAGGGACATACGCTGCCACCAGTTGTTCAGACAAGAGCGTGTGTTTGACTGAGTTTGAGTCTGGTGAATGTGTCGCGAGTATGTCTGGTCATTCAGGTAGGTAAAACGAAAGCCTTGTTTAAGAGTAAGATTGTTTCGCAACAGAAATCATTGTCAACGAGCGCGGACTCAACAACCCACAGCTTTGGGCATTAACTGGGATCAAGGACAAACGTGCAATAGGTCACAGTCTAAGGATGCTTGTGACTAACTGAACTGTTGGTGAAGGCGGGGAATTGAATACACTGCTAGCTGAGTGTGCGCTTGAACTGTTATCTGAGTGGTTGAACGTGCAAGCCTTGTAATGATTGGTTACTGCCGTAGTTATTTGAAATTAAAAAAAAAAATTGAAAGGTTCCCTGAACGTCTGCTCTTTGATAAATGTAACAGACCCTGGAGAAATCGTTAATATTAAGGTGTAAAATGCCTCTCAAGCTTTTAAGTCGAACCCTCCGTACTTTCGTACGATAAGCAATGTTAAAGCTCGCCAGCAACAGTAATTCTTTTATTGTCTTCTCAGAGGTGGTGACTGGTCTGAAATTTTCTGTCGACTGCAAGAATCTCATCTCTGTTGGCGGAGATGGGTAAGTAATGAACGGTGTTTTGATGATGTATGTTTATCAACTTGCGTCTCTCGGTACAAATACTGAATTAATCCTTTAATGAGTTAACAAGACTGAATTTTTCCTTATAATATCAAGCAGGCAAGTCATGAAAATAAAGAAAAATATCAATTAGGGGATTATTAGTTGATCTATTAGCAAATTCTCCGAACTAATGTCGTAAAAATTTTCGTGGGTGACAGTTAAGAGAATTACTTATGAGATCTTGGAAGTGAAAGGGTAGCACCAGACAAAATAGATTCACAATTTTCCTAGTGGTTTTCAGTCTTTGTTGTGTCTTCTTCAATTAAATGCGGATGATCCATAATTATTATATTTATTTTGATTGCTTTTCTTACAACTCTTTCTTTATATGATAGGTGCATCTTTGTGTGGAAAATACCATCAACTTACACCCAGGTATCTCGAGTCATTTTTTCTGTAAAGTGTTGTAAACTTTTCCGATTCTCAAATAACTCAAAGGTTTTAACTAACATTACTTTTCTTGAACTTGTCGCAGGAGAATCAAAATTTTCCTTTCGGGGAATCAAAAGATCCTCGTAGTTTAAATTACAAAAAGAAGTAGTCTGTTTTCTTTTATCTGTGAAGTGCAGTCCTTTGCAAACCTCTCATCGTTGAGAAAGATAAATACTCACAACTGATTTCCTTTCACAAATCGACTCACTGTCAAAAAAAAAAAAATGACAAATAGGTGTTTTCTTTTCAAATGATGGAACCATTTGTATTTGGGTAACCTTTTGACGGATCTGATCCACTTGAATGGACGTATGGTTTGCAAATGTTTCTATCGTTTGCTTTTTTCCTCAGAATATGGTGGAGAAACTTCACGTACTTGGAGAGGAGCCAGAAAATAAAATCGAGTTTGGCACTCCCATCAGGTATACCATATTGAATATCATTTTGTTTTGAAGGGAAAATTTATCCTTGTGAATCTCAAGCAAAGAAACTAGTAGTAAACTGATTGCTTGAAGAGGACACTATATTTATGTTTTTCACTGAATGTTTTTCTACAGACGTGAGACTTACCAAATGGCTCATCCGTCGATAATCGAAACGGCTGAAGAGGACGACTTTGTACCAGCTGACCCTTCAGCGTTCAGCAGACCAATGAAAGGTATACTTAAAATTTCTGCAATCTGATTGGCTAAGCTACATGCCATTTATTCCGTGATGGATAAATTAAGAGAGTAGCTCGTGGTATGACATAGTTGTATCATTACTTAACAAAGATCTCATTAGTTATTCCCCGTACTTTTTGCCATCTAAGTCTCATGATGTTGGTTCAGAGAATTTGGTACTGGATCTACTTATAATCCCCTGATTGAAATTTTTCTTTTTTCTCATCACTTGTCTGCTCGATGTTGTATTGATATTGCAAGGAGAAATTCTGTATTGGTTACTCATGGGAGTTAAACGGTTAATAAAAACACAAGCCTATTTTGAGTGATTAGTAGAGTTTTGTTGTACACAACTAATTAGATTTCTACGCGTGATAGGTGATAAAGGCTTCGCCCTCATCAACTAGTCGATCTGAAAGCAAACCGAATTTACGTCACAATGCTTGAAATTATCGATCCGAATAAGAGTGGTAGATTCCAAGTGATTTTAATTTTTCTGCATACTAGATCCCAGTCCTCCTGTTAAAGATTACCGTTTCAGCGTGGGGCAGCTGCCTGCGTGGGCCAAAAAGCAGGTTTGTTACTTTGATGTCAGTTTCCATCTAACAGACACCCCAACTTTTCTGCCAGACTTATTCGGAGAAATTTGCTTTTTTTGGTCAAGACTACCTAATTTTATCAAATGTTCTGAGCAGTTACTGTGCTTTTTCGAACTAAACTGAGACAATTTTTTGCCTTTATTTTAGCTCGTCGCTGAAGGAAATGAGAAGACTACGGTTTCTCCGGAAGAGAGTAACACAGGAACAGTAGTTCAACCCGGAGGGCGATGGGCTCAGGTAAGTTGCTTACCCACCCCTCCCTGGTTCGATATTTGCTGGATAATAACGACTTACGCGTTTGTGGCTGCGTGTTTTCCCGCTCTTGGAGTTGGCCAAATGCAAATCTTCCCGCGCTTTCACACGGGCTGCAAATTTTCCCGCGCTACGCAGATTGTATCTTCATGATTCCGCTCTTTAAATGTGATTGCTCCGTTTTGTGCTTGATTCATCTTGATTATTCTAAATTTTAATTGAAGCAGTTTTATGTACTAGATCCTGGTTGGTTTGTGATTATGTCAGCGTTAAGATTTTTCTAGCTTTCGGGAAAAACCTTGAATGTCACTCAAATAATAACGATAAAACTTGATTCTATCAAAACTGATTTTGTTTTTCTCTTGGAACTTCGTTTTCTCTCTTACAGAGAGTCCAGAATGGTGGTATTCACATTGCTGGTGACAATGGCAAGATAAAACCGATTCCTTTATTGCTGGATCCCACAGGTTAGAGCATAATACAACAGTCAAAAGTACCGATATACCTAGCAAGTTTCCTAATAACCCTATGAATTATCATCCATTTTACGTCTGAACCGAGATAAACATCCGGCAATAACGTTCCGATTATTTCAGTCTTAAATTAAGAAACTTTGTTGTTTTTTGATTGATTAGATTTAGAAAATACCAGTGTCAGTGAGAGAAAAATTTCTTCAATTAAAAAGAAAACAATCCTTTCATACTGTGCGATGTTCTCTTCAGCGCTAAGTGATCGCATTTATGTAAGAGGAAATGAGATGCAAGTACTTTCGTTTTTAATGATTTTATTACTTTGCAGATGGCGGGAAAAGATACACAGTAGAACCGATCTCTCTCCAGGAGCAAATGAGAGCGTTAGCAAGCAGCGTATGTAACATCAGTCAATGATCATAATGAAATTATTAATAATGATAATAACAATAATAATGATAATAGTGATGATAATGATGTTAAAGATCGCTTCACACAAAGCATCCATAGGAAAAGGAGAACTTTTCCCGATTCCAGCCCAAGTCCACAAGGGCGTTTTGGGAACGTTCTTTTGGTGGAGGTAGCTTTTTAAGATTGTAATTGCTTGTTTTGTTCATTTGCAGCCTCTCGAGAGACGTTGCTCACTTACCTATGGGGTAAGATGATTTATCTTCTGCTTGAGGCTTTTACATTAAAAGGAATAGCTTTTGAATTAGGGCCCAGCAATTAAGTATAACAATTAAACCACGGTCTTGCACAAAAATGAATTGGCAGTCACAAATCAATACGAATAAACAGATGAAATTACGGCATTACTCCCCTTGGGTCGGATGGATGGTTCACTCTAATGGTTGCCCTAATGGTTTCCAAGTTTTCTTTTGGTATAATTTGATCGACGTTACATGCATCTACCCATTTGTTTTTATTGTTCTCGATCAGCGTAAATATTAATTAAATTTCACAGAGCCAGAAACAGTACATGATGAAAATGAAGCGACAGTCTCAAACTTAGTGTAGCAGGAGGGCTGGAGGGAACGCTGAAATACTTAGCAGCAGACATCAATGCGCGGACTGAGCTTACTTTTCTTTAACAGGAAGATGATGACTTGTTCCCCTCAGACGGCCGAGCAGCGCTGGAGAATTTGAGCGAAGAAGAGAAGAATCATACCGAGGTTGGAAACATAAGCAATCTCGAATTTTTCTCTCGACACTTAATAAACCAACAGAACTTTGAGTTGTAAACACCGCGGTTGCTTGAGGCGAATGCATGTTCTTTGCTTCCTTTGAAAGCATGGTGCGCGACTAGAGCAAAAATTGGCTGCAAAGGAGTCTAACAAGTGCTCAGGACTCACTGTTACTTCTTGTTTGCGGTTCCTTTTTAGCCATGCAGAGTTCATTGTTTTTCCGCCATCCAGAGAACTCGTTTACTTTTCCTGTTATGCAGAACTTACTTTTTCTTTTCTCGCAATGCAGAGTTCTTCGTTATTTTTTCAACCTTGCAGAGCTCACTGTTAACTTTCCCACCATGCAGAGCTCACTGTTAATTTTTCCGCCATGCAGAACTTACTTTTACTTTTCCCGCCAAGCAGGAAGCCGCACCGCCAGGCGTCACTGTGTCACGTGGTAGTGATATAATGCCGAAGGCTCGAGTTAGGAAGAGCAGTGTAGAAGTGTCCGAATCAGGAGAACTGAAATTTGAAGAAGCAGAGGAGCTTGATGTAGGGGACGCGAAGGAAGTTATCATCTACCTACCCCCAAGCCAGGATGACTTCGACAGCGAAGTTGCAAGGTCAGAAATGTATCGTGATTATTTCCCCAAAACGGCAAAGGGGCCTTTAAATGGAATTGTGCCGGGACTAGGAGCACCTTTAAGGACCTGCCTCGAGAGGTGCCTGTGAATATGAAAACGAACCATGGGGGTATCAAGTCCCATTAAGTGCATTTTCTGTTCTGGGCCCCAGTTGTTCGAAGGTTAGATAAGTCGCCATAAGTCTATAACTCATCCACGGGATAGCGATTTATCCGTCGGTTAGTGTTATTCGTCCTCTATACGACTGGTCCCTGGTGTTTAGCCACAGGGCTGAAGAATGGTACCTTTCTTAGTGGCCTTTTCTTATGAGCCCCATGTGAGATGGAGCCAACTCTGGACTCGGATTAATCATGTACCAAAACTTTTGATTTCTGAGATAATGGACAACCGTCATTTTAATTCTGGATTACTCTGAACACGACAAGAATTGAACATCGTATAAACACAAACGAAGAGATTCGGTAGAATCGTGTTTCAAAACATTAAACCAAGTTTGAAATTAAAATGCGTGGAGAGAAGAATTTTTTGAATATAACCGTTCAATAAGTGACAAAATTGAATCTGAATGCATGAGAGGTGACAGTAAAAACCCCTTCTTAAAATAAAAGTACCATCGAAAACCTAAACTCCATCTTAAGTAAACGTTCAGAGTTATTAATCAACAAAAACAGGAACGCCATCATGATCTTTACCAAAACGGCGACTCTTGATGATTTTGTCTTTTGCTGCTTCTTCATCAGGGGACTAGAATCTTTTGTGCTTCATTTGACTTAAATTATGAATTAAATGTTGAAATTATCAATTATAAGTTTTGAGATAACAGATGGCATGCCTCAACTAACCTTGAATTCGCTCTGACAAGGGCTATCGCTCGAAACGTCAGCTTCGAAACTCTTTACGGCGGCCAATTTGTTATCAACTTAGTTGATAGTACTAAATTACCCTGTTAGTTTAACTTTTAATGGTAACTTGGACAATTTCGGAGTCTGAATTCGCAGCGATAGTCGCCATTTTGACTTCTTATCCACAGTTCTCGAACATTTTTTTCGTAATGCTTAATTTCTAACCCATTTTTTCCGCGGTGCAAACCTTCGCCATCGTCCCATTCCTGTTTTTATTGTTTAATGTATAATGTAACTAACACGAACTGTCTTCCTTTTGACACTCGCTTGACCCAGTGCCCCACGGGTCCAAGAATTTGTGCAACATTACGAAGCTCTTCAGTTAAATCATCACCAGTCTTGTCCCAATATCGTTCAACAAGTCAAGAGACTGCGGGGAGATCTGGTTAATCAGGAAAAACCCGTCAAACTGGTTAATGACGAACCGGTTCCGCTTAACAGATCTCCATCGTTAGACCTTCTTCCATTTCGGGTTGTAACTTGCCTCAGGTAACTTAAAAAAATAATTTAATTGTTTTTCACAATATCGCACTTAAAAGTCATTGTTTTAGTAAGTGCAATTATTTAAGGTAAGGTAAATTTCCCCAGCAAAAAATACTCAGTTTTTGATAGAATAAAGAACATGGATTTTAAAAGAAAGAGCGAGCTGTCTTATCTGAACAGTTGAGCTTGATTTCTTCAAAATGAGACACGACATGAATAAAATGGTAAATTGTATCAATATTGTTATTAAGTCCTTTCTAGATTAACTTCCCTGAAATGATTATGATTTTGACACAATAAACCAGTTTCCCTTCCTTCATCAAATGAGTTACAAGTAACTGAGTGTTAAGGAGATTTTTTAAACCGTGAAATAATTTTGAATTTTTCTGTCCTGTTCTTTTTTTTCCAGAAGTTAATCAATTAAAAGTATTTAATTTAATTCGTGTGATAGATCATTTCATCAGTTCCTTAAATGCTCATAAACTCCTGATGAAATTTCATTTAAACAAGATTTTATATCGATTCTCCTTATTTGTTTTCACCGTCTTTAAACCAATGCTAATCCTTCCATTCGGCTGCAAAACCGCCTGAGTGAACCAGTCTCCTGGGAAAGAGTTGTTATGTCATGTGGATGGTTGGTGTACTATGTGGGATAACTACTCGCTTGTGTGTATGAATTTACTCTAATCTGCGTACAGTTAATAAAAAGACAAAAGGAAATAAAAAAAGTTGTAAGGAATTATGAAAAGCGTAAACGAAGTATCTTAGAATGAATCACTACCTTATCCTAGGCTCCCATTTTACTTACGCGGCTCTGTCCCAGTCCGGAAGTACGATATCAGATATCAAATTTATTGAATTGGTTGAAAACGTTACAAATTTTTCTCCCCTAGTTTTCTTTCTGATTGACTGCTCAGTTAACGGTTCTGTCCGTTTAGTTGTGGTTACTTTGTGTTGATTTTATACCTGGGATTCATAAAAACTGTATTTACCAATTTGATTAGTTCTAGCTCAAGCTGTTCTCTTCGTCTTTCATCAGAGCTTTCGAGTTGTCTGTCGCCGAGCGGCCAAAGAGATTGTCTCTAACAGTAGAAGATCCCAAAGGCGAAGAACAAGAGGTAAAAGCTAAACTTTCGATTAATAACTTCTCCAAAGATTCTCAACTATTATTACTAGTACAATGCAATTTTCGATTATGTGTTAAAATTTAGCTGGAATTTACTGGTTTCCTTTGCGTCCTTATGTGAGTGGTTGAGAAAACTGACGTTATATTCTCAACAAATCAGATGCAAAGGTGAAACTTATCGCTACATGTTCCCACTCCTCAGTCCGTTTGCTTCTTTTGAATTTGAGTTCTCATTGGCTCCTAAACACTCTCAAGTTACGTTACGTTCTTGAATTACCTGCTCAGAGGTAAATCTCATTTTGCATCAGGGTTGATTTAATTGAATTTTTTTGTTGGATTTTTAGGGCAAAGACAAAGGTAGAGTGGAAGAGAAAGGGACAAATTCTCGTAAGATCCTATTGGAAAAAACTTTTCTGTTGTCCAGCAAGTTTCAGAACAACTTGTACTTTTTTTGTTTGCTCAGACAATAGTCATCAGTTTGAAACAGTTATATTTGCTGAACTGTCAAGGGTCGGAAACATTATGCGAAGGGTCTTATTGACGATTTTGTTTCGTTTGGAGTGGAGAATGTTTGTAAAAATCTTTTTCCCTACGACAAGATTTTGTCCCGAAACATGTCGCCCAATTTCAAGCATTCTTAAATTTGTTCTTGAGATAGAGGCGACAAAATGAGTAGAAGCGACTAACATGCCAAGCGGTCAGTCGCAACTCAGCTTGCTTGCTTCCCCCAAGGTGTCTGTGATCCCCTTTACTTTACTGTGCTACTTCACAAAATGTTGAAAAGTGTCTCCAATTTTGCTTCATGGAATGTAACTATGTTCTTGTTCTCGGATACAAAGCTTCCAGTGAAGACGATGAAGACGAAGTGATAAGTCCGTCGGAGGATACCACAAAGCCATTTGGTTACGATGAGAACAAGCCCGAGGGAGGAGAGGATGAGGAGATGGTTGGTCGCTATTTCGAAACTCTAGGTACCAGTTCTCCAGCGCAAAAAGCGGACGAGCAAGTCACAGAGCCGCCGCCCCTGGACACGGATCGGCTGATGCGGACCAGGCTGAGTATCTCGGCCAGATTTTTGTCGCGTTCGCACCAACCTGGAAGGTTTGAAAATATGTATTGTATTAATAAACGCTCTAAGCAGCCCCCTCCCTTCCCAGCCCCCTCCCTTCCCAGCCCCCTCCCTTCCCGCTTTCCCCCTTTGATCCCCTTCCCTTTTTTAGTAGAACCTGGAGTTTCCAATAAGCTCCCCCATTTGTAAAACCTTTAGTTCCTTATGACCCCCACCCCCTTAGTGTAATACTTCAAGTTTCTGAGTAGCCTCCCCTCTCAAAAGAGTCTCCCTCTTTGATAATCCCTCCCTTGAGAAACTTCCGGTACAGATTTAGTTTCTATTGAGCTTTTCCCTGCTAAAGAGCCCCCCACTTTAGACCTCTCCCCCTCGTGCAGGGCGTCCTCTTCCCCCTCTCTGAGCAAAAATTCAAGTACTGCCTTCCCTTGGGCTAGGTAGTGTTTCGGTTAAAAAATATGCTGAAAGTCCAAGAGAAGGCTGGCCGAATAAATTAAGGTTTTGGTAAATTCCTCGGTTTCAGAGAGGTAAGAAAAAGCTTCGACGTTCCGAACGTGTTTGTTGAAATGCAATAGTCGCGAAACAGTTAAATGGAATTCAAACTTTTTATTCCTTTGTCTTCAGGATTGGTGTAATATCGACAAACCTTGATGAAGAGAAAGGAGAAAATCATCATTCAGATGATGTAAGTTTTTTTTTGCCCGTTTTTTCGGAAAATGCTTTAAATTATTCTGGTGACTCGGAAGTCTTCTTTCTAATTGAGTTCCAATGATTTCTACGCATTCTTTTTTTTTCATTTCCTCATTTCCTGTCTTTTCGTTGGAACATGAGCCCTGTTTTGATAATAGAGACTGAGAATAACCTCATCCCACTAATGAAATTATTAATTGGCAATTGATCTATTCATTCATTCATTATTTTACTGGTTAACTGACTGACGGACTGACTGCTGACTGGCTGGCTGACTGACAGACTGACTGCCTGGCTGACTGACTGACCGGTTGATTGACTGATTGACTGACTGGCTTGCTGATTGACTGATTGGCTGGCCGACAGGCTGACTGACTGGCTGGCTGATTGACTGACTGGCTGGTTGATTGACTGGTTGATTGACTGACTGGCTGGCTGATTAACTGACTGGCTGGCTGATTGGCTGACTGACTGGCTGGCTGGCTAATTGACTGACTGACTGACCTGCTGGCTGGGTGGCTGATTAACTGACTGACTGATAGACTGGCTGGCTGATTGACTGACTGACTGGCTGGCTGATTGACTGACTGACTGGCTGATTGACTGACTGACTGGCTGATTGACTGACTGGCTGATTGGCTGACTGACTGACTGGCTGATTGGCTGACTGGCTGATTGGCTGACTGACTGACTGGCTGATTGACTGACTGGCTGATTGGCTGACTGACTGACTGGCTGGCTAATTGACTGAGTGACTGACCTGCTGGCTGGGTGGCTGACTGACTGACTGACTGACTGGCTGGCTAATTGACTGAGTGACTGACCTGCTGGCTGGGTGGCTGACTGACTGACTGATAGACTGGCTGGCTGATTGACTGACTTACTGGCTGGCTGATTGATTACTCGATCTGGCCACACTAATCATCACATCCTCTGTTTGGGTCAGTTACTATGAACAGCAACCAGCGTGTGATTTAGAATGTAAGTTTCCTTAATATTATTTCAATTTTTTTCTTTTTTTAACGTTATTCCTTTGCATTGTTAAAGTCCAAACAGGATCTTCAAAGGCGTAAAGAAGAAATGGCGCAGGCTGTGGAGGCTACTCGTAAACGACTCGAAGCTGTAAGTAAAGTTAACAATACTTCTTCTTGCAAACCCACCACAGATCAGTTGTTGATATTCATGTGGGCGATAAGCAAATCGTAGAAGAGTCATTTCTTCTTTGACTTTTTGCTTTTCCCTTACGCTTTTTTCTGTCGCTCGCCCAAAGGGATCCCGTTCATGACAATTTAGCAGGAGCATCTCACACTGCCGTCATTCCACGTTATGCATCAGTATCGCTGTTTAGCGCTGGACGAAAGCGTTCAGTTTTGAGTTGATGGTCTAAGCACTGCAGAACTGCTTTGGTTTGAGTTAACATTTACCTTTATCAGCGGTACATGTGAACTCAAGAGACATAATCGGGTCGCTTCGGCAAATCAAAGTTAAATGAGCAACGTTCATCACAGGCTTTGTTCCGTGATTACTTGCAATACTCCTGTGTTTGATCTGAATTCTCTTTGTTTGTTACCTTGTTCGTATTTGTTCCTGCTGGTCACTGCAGTTTTTTTTAGTTATGATTTGTTGTTAAGCTCTCTAGTTTTTGGGATTGACTGTTTAATTTTAGCTTTTTCCGGTTTTAGTTTCTCGGCAGTTTTTGAAAAATTGATCTCGCCTGTGCTTATTTTATTGTTCAGCTGGGATGGAAAGCTAAGGAAGACATTTTGAAGAAGATGCCAGTCAACAGTGCGACATCAACAGCAACTATAACCTCCGTCTCTTCTGTATCCAGCAAAACTGTCGTTTCTTCTTCTAAAACCACAACAATTTCATCCAACTCCGGATCATCTCCAAGCACTGCAGCTGAAGAGCCTGCCTCCAAAACTAGTACTGTGTTATCGTCTGTCTCGACTACACACACTTCATCCGTGAGTGCCATCTCAAAAACCAGCACCGTCGCCACATCCATGTCGTTTACACCCACTACAGTCGTTAATTCTGTGTCTGGCACTGGTAAAAACGGAGACAGTACACCCGTGTCTGCACTAACAGAGTCAAGCAGTAAGCCTTCCGTCATAACTAACCTGCTTGAGGTATGTAGAGATACTACCGCCGAATTCCGCGAACAAGCCTGTGACCCACCTTCATCTTTAATCCTGATAATCTTATCCATCATGATTCTTCAAAATCTAAAATGACTTCTGTTCTATCACCTTTTATCACTTGGGGTGTTCTTATGAGAAGAAGCTGGACTACCAGCAGTCCCTCTTTTTCGTCGAAGTCCGTCGCGCGGGTTAAAAACGCAAACGTTAGCGAAAAAAATATTAATATAAAAGCGCTGCTTTTCGTGTTCCTTACTGCCAGAGGTCCGCGTTTTTTTTCTTCTCACTAGCTTGACCCGCACGACGGACTCCGCCAAAAGGCAGCGGTTGCTCTTAGTCCAGAAAAAAGTTGGTGCAATATCTCTGACACTACTCTATGGGGGAATACCTGACTAACTCTTACTTAAACTCTAACTGACTCCCTGATGTAACCTCTTCCTTAATATCACTGTGCTACCAAGCATGAAGTTGCGAGGAAAAGCTAAACTTGACAGCTCATGGATGTTACCTTCATATGTTATCACTTTTCTCAATTAGTTTACAAGGATATGTAACAGAACTGATTGTTAGAATTGCGATTCAGAGCTTGTTTCAAAGTTAAGTACGCATTTTAGCGTATGCGCGTCATAGCTACGTGTTGTCTTGTTTAGTTAATTTTCCATGTTGACGTTCGCCTGGCAGTGAGTATTTTTTTTGGGTTGATGTTATTTACAGACGCGATTAGCAGATGTCCAAGAGAACAGCAAGGAGGAACGGAAGGATCAGTCGGCTAAGAAAGATATTCCTGAGTCGAAGAAAGATAATGTCTCAAAAGCTGACGATACCGAGAAATCCAAGCGTACTGCGTCCAATCTGATTGCGTTTTTCAGTCAGTCAAAGTCATCCAAAAACAAAGACAAGGAAAAAGAAAACTCGAAAGAAAAAGAGAGAGCAAAATCGAAGGAAAAAGACAAAGAGAAGGGAAGAGCCACACCCCCACTGGTCAAGGAGATATCTGATTTAAAATCTACCTCCGGGGGTAAACTTGAACGGCGGGGCTCTGAGGGAAAATCATGGCGAAAATCGCTGGGAATTCTAGGGGGAAGTTCCAAGCATGACAAAGAAGACAAACATAAAAGGCATTCTGAACCCAGATCTTCAACCCCACCTGACATGCTGTCGAAAAACGCGCTAAAACAAAACGAGAGGGAAGACAAATTGAATAAGAAACCAACTGAGCCTCGTTCGTCCACACCGCCTGTTGACAAACAAATGAAGAATTCCCAGCCAGCGAAACACCACGAAAGCACTTTAAAAACTGTAAAAGAAGAAAAAGACAAAAAGTCACCCACTAAACCACAGCCTGAGAGGCGATCGTCTAATACGTCATCCGAGCTGGCGGGAAAAACTTCTCAGCCGCCTGGCGCTAAAACAAACGAGACTTCTTTGACTACTTCGTCCAGAAATGCTCCTTTAAGAGAGAAGAAAGGACGGGTTTCTAGTGAGGAGAGACGAGAAAAATCGCGGTCGTTAGGTGACATAGGTAGCAGACTACACAAAGTAGAAGAAGTGTCTATTTTAGATCCGAGTGTGCCGCCATCTAGAACTGTTGACACTATGGATATACCGAATCAAATAAAAACAGCTGAAAAACGACCCAAGTCAAGCGCCGGTATTTTGGAGACAACCCCACCTCAGACGAAAAAACCATTAGAGCGAAATTCGGTTGATAATAATGATGTTTCAAGTACAAAAAATCTTAAAGAACACACCGACGTTTTGAATGGAACTTCCGATAAAAACGATATTTCGACTAATGGCAGCTTGTTAACTAGTAATGAATATTCGACAGGACGAAAACCACCTCCGGACGAGCAGCTGAATCCTGCGTTGGATGGGCCTGGTAACGAAGCTATACCAGTCCTAGGTTCTACCCTTGAAAAGAAATCGAACACTTTGGACCTGGGAACTAGTAAGCCCTTGTCACCGCGCAGAACCTCTCGGAGTGGTAGCGGGTCGAGCTTTATGTCTGATATCAGTGAACTGTCAGCTGAGCTGTCTGCAGCTATTGCGTCACCACCGCCTGAGCCACTCAGATTGAGCGTGTCTGAGTCGAACTTGTTGAGTACCAGTCCTCCCTCTACAAGTCGGAAGTCTTCCACTGGTAAGGATCATGGTAAAAAGTTCATTATGTTGTGTGAACGCTCCTTTTATGTCTAGCAAGGGTACTCCTTTTATGTCTTGTAAGGGTACTCCTGCAGGCTAGTTGAATCATTTTTGGACAAGAAACCGAATCTTATGTCCTATTCCTACGCCTTGTGTTCAATAATTTCTTTTTTAGTTTGTTATTTACAGTCCTCCATAACCTCTCCCATCCTTAGTCTTGGCTTACCTTGGCCACGTGAATTTTTCTTTCATACCGAACCAAAATTTGTAATCTGAAATGTAGGGCATTTCAGTTTAGCGCGTCCTGAAACATGGTTGAACTTTGTAGACGCCTCCAGAGGTGTGAACAGTGAATAGACCAGGCAGAGTTCCTCAAAAACTTGTCATATTTTCCATTTGAACCTGGAGAGTTTTTACTCGAGACTGCCTCCTAGCCAACGAACACCATAACAATAGTAAATAACAACGATCGTAGACGACACCGCAATAAAGTAAGACAAATGAAGCCTTTTAAACTTTGGTCGTGTTCTTGTTCAACCTTACAGATGCTGCTAACTCCACCGATATTGATCAAAATACATGTCAGGAAACCCTTGAACACCTTGTGCAGGCTTTTCAAAAGGTTATGGATGTTCAGTCTAAGGTGAGAAAGAAAAAGTTTCGGGTTGTTGTAGTTAACTAGAGGATACTTATTCCCAGAGAGGAATTAGTTGGCTTGAATCGACCGAGATGTCAAACTGAGCCCTTTCTGTTCACGATCACTCTTATGAATTAGCGCTAAGTAAGTCCCTTCTCATTTGGTGGAAAGTTCAAAACTCCATGATATTGCTGATCCTAGCTCTGCAATTGTTTGAAAGTAGCATGTAGCCTCGGTCACTAAGTCTCTAAACGGGAGATCATTTCTTAAAGCACTCGACCGTTTTTTCTAATGCTAACCAATTTGTGATATCTATTTTTTTTTTTTTTTTTTGCACCTGCAGATTCTGAATGGAGAACCCTCGGACGATAACCACCAGTTGTTATCGTACATTACCAGCACTTTTTCAGCCATAGAGGAACAGATTCACGATTCGCGTCTTCGTCGGCGGAAGTGGGAACTCTCCTACCTCCCCTGGGGTAAACCCGGCACAGCTCCTAGACCACTCGGCGGCGCGCTCAGCTTCTCCACCGGAAACCTGGACCAAGTTGGTTCAAAACTTCGTCCTTTCAGGAGGACTTCTGAGCTTTCTGTTTCCTCAATTCCTGAAGAGGAGGTTGAAATACATGAAGTGTTACTAGAAAAGTACTCTGATAGACTATTGGAAATGGTCGCAAAGAAACTTAAACAATGAGGAATACTTTCGTGTTGCGAGCACAACTGACGAGAGTTCTCTTTCTTTGAAACAGTATGACTAGGAAAATGGGTTGGGTTTGATTAAAATGGCTTAGAGATTACTATGAACGTGTCCTGGGTTAGTCTCGTTACCGCGGTACTGTTGAGTGTTTGCCCTTGGTTTACCTGAACAGGCGAATGCTACCGCAGATGATGTCTATTCCATACATGACTGATTACCATTAGCTTGTAATCACATGTGGTAAACTGCAATTCTAAGGAGCTAAGACTGGACTTTTATCTGGAATTTTCTATCGCCGCTCTCATTAACTGCTAGCCTAACATGGAAAACAACAGATGAGGTTGGAATAGTTCCTTATGACGTTGGCGAGGGCAGTTAAATGCAGTTTGCTCCTGTTAAGAGCAATCATGACTTCATTATTTACGTACATCCTATGCAACTTAGGTTGAAGGATTCACCCATCTTGAAATACGTCAACTCAATCATCTAACAAACTTCGCCAGCTTTAATATTTAAGCTGCTATTTTCTACATATTTTCGTATTTTTTTTGTCTTAAAGAAAGTCATCAAAGTACTTCATGAGTAATCTAATGAGAAAAATCCATAGTTTTGTTCAAAACTGCATATTAAAAAGCCAAAATGTAAATTAATAAAACAGTGAATTATTTAGCTTGTCTGTCTCTTTTTTACTTGCAGTATCTGCCTTACAGTTAACATTTACTGTCTTTGCTAAAATTCAATTTACTTTCGAACTTCTGAAGTAATCCGGGATTGTTTTAGTTTGCTATATTTCGCTTTGTGATTGCTCCAGAAAACTCTTGCCACATTTTCAACCAATCAGATTCAAAACTACATCCAGTCATAACTTGGTTACACGCGTTTTTCTTCTCTGCCAGCAGCTTGCTAGTGTCGTGACCAAAGCGTTACATTGAATTTATTTATAGGTGCGTGACGGAAGTACAGAAATATGTTAGGTGATTTGGGTTAATTGATTGTGAGTGAGCAAGAGAATAAATACAGTCTACATCAAACCAATGTGATTGTTTGTCGCGAGATCATTTACGACACTTTTGTTTATTGTGGGTTCTCCGTGGCTCGCTGTGATATTTCCCTTCGTTCATAATGGCGGTGGTAATTACTCTGGTTTGGCTTTTCGACACTCAGTCAAAATGAGCTCCAAAGGAACCTCCAACGTAGAAATGGCTCAACAAGTTAGCAGGAGCGAATCCCTCAGAAATGGCTGGATTTCGAATTGTCAGATCTTCTTTTGTTTTACTTTATTTTCATCAGAATTTTTTTTAATAATTCAGTGTTAGTGAGCAAGAATTATCTAATGTTTTGGTTATCACACGGCTAAGGCGGTCCGAGGGCCAGTATGCAGTAGCGCAAAATAATCGATCAGATTACTTCCTTTCTGCCCCCGCACATTCGTATCGAATTGAATTTGAAGAATTCCGACATAAAGGATGGTGAATTAGCTAAGCTTAGGTAGGATACAAATTCTGGAGATTTTTATACGGAGTATCATTGTTTTTTCTCACGATGTAGCCAGTTCTGTGTAGATCCCGACCTTGAGACTGTAAACTGCGAGTCTTCTTTGCCTCTCTTAAGGTGATTGGGTCGACTATGACGTGCATGATCGATGCCCTTCGGGACAGCAATGCATTATGTCACGCTTAAGTCACGCAGCTTACCCTCAAGATGGTGGACGTTAGGAATAACAAGCGCTTCCGAAGCGAACCTGGTAGCACGCTATCCTGTTATGCACTGCGACTAAAACCAGGCCAGGAAATAAGGGAATGTCTGCTGAACTACGTCAAGACTAAGAAACTTGGGGCACCGTTCGTTCTTTCTTGCGTAGGAAGTGTGACTCAAGCTACACTACGGTTGGCTAATGCGTCAATAGACACACCGAATGAGGTAAGGAAATCGCATGACTGATAGTTTTTTTTATTCTCAGACAGGCTTCTTTATATTGGGGTTCTTTCATGATTATTAGCAAAAGCATTATTTCCCGATGAAGAAAATGTTTGCGCCGAGGTCTGTTGTAGTTATTGCATCCCAACATGCGGAAACCCGTCCTATTTTGCACCTCAGCTTTGCAGGCTTGTGATTACGTAAGGCTCTTTAATGAGAAAAGCAATGATGTGGGCTCACTTGTCTTAGATCACGCAAATTTTGGGCTGAAAATTTTATTTTCTTGATTGGTGGTGAATTGAAAACGCTTGTCCCGAGAGGTGAGGGGTGGGGAGTGCACTAGGAAATGCGACACATTGTAATTGTTGATTTACAGAACTGATCACCTTCTTTCCCGCTTAAGTTGAAATCTCCGGGTAGATACTGTTAGGGATCTCAATGTGGGATGGGAGGCCGGTGCTTACAGTTGTAATGAATTGGCAGCTGCAGTGAAAGTACAGCACCCTACCCACAAGCAGAAGGCCATGTAGCATAAATGTATTTCTTTCAAGAACTCACAAGAAATCCCAAACTCCCATTCTCAATCCTTTAGCCTAAACTGAAGGGATCAGAAGTATTACCTCATCCTAGGATGGTGTCCCAGTCCACTCTACATCACCCTCTCCCTACCCAACCCCCCCTTTTTTTTCTTCTGATTTCTGTTACAGTTCACTGGTACCCATCTATATTCCTGAGTGAAGAAGTTAGATTGTATCACCTAAAGACAACCCCATGCCTCAGCCATGACTTGAACCCATTGAGTCAGTTAGTCAAAACTACAGTTTTATGCAATCAGTGAGCCTCAGGCTTTTGCTATAGGAGCAATGATTTAATGAAATAAATGTCCTTTCACAGTTATCTTTCAGCTCTCTTGATGCTTTTCACAAAAAACAAAGGTTCAGCTAAACTGACGATTGTATTTTATGTGGTTTTGTTAAACAATGGCTTAACTTTTTAAATGTTGAAATAATCAGACCATTAAATTCAGATTTTGATGTCCGTTTTCTATTTCTTCAGATCATTGAGGTTAAAGGAAGGCATGAGATTGTTTCACTCGTTGGAACACTGGCTAATGAAGGACACCTCCATGCTTCCCTTTCAGACAAAGATGGTAATGTCATAGGTGGTCATGTTATGGGAAACATGAAAGTTTTTACTACTGCTGAGGTTGTCATTGGAAACTGCGACACATTGTCATTTACTAGAGAGATTGATGATGAAACTGGCTTTGAGGAACTTGTTGTGAGAGAAAAATAGAAATTCACTTTTTCAACTGTTATGACCTACTCTAGATAATTTGTCTCAGAAAGAAATTGATTTTCATATTATGATTGCTGTTTTAATTATTTTAGTCTTATATGGTTGCTTTAGGATAAAACATCCAGTTTTCTACAAAGTTAATATATGATTGATTGGCTACTGCAATTGTTTAACCCTTTAACTCCCAGATCAAATTTGTCATTCTCCTCATTGTCAAACACATAATTCTTATTATGTTAGTTCAGAGAATTTAGTATTGGATCAACTAATTATCCCCAAATTGATATTTTTCTTTATTCTCATCACTTATCTGGTTGATATTGTATTGATATTGTAAGGAGAAATTCTGTCTTGGTTACTCATGGAGTGAAAGGGTTACAGCATACACCCAAACATTTGCAAGTAATACAATTACTGTATATTTTGACCTTGATATTTATTGGAAGGAGATTACAATGTGAGAAACAGCCTGTGATCTTTTGTTGAAATTTTTAATTGTTAGAAATTGGATTATTTATCATAACCATTGCTCAAGGTTGGTGAACCTTTCAATCAGCCCCAGCCACTAGAATCACCTCATGTAATAAAGACCCATTAACCATACAATTTTACAATTTGTTTGTTTCCTACACAAATAACTTGTGCTCCAAGATAAAACCATCATGTTGAAAATAAAATTGAATAAAACTGGGGTATACCTGATGTAAGGAAACTTTCAGATGGAAAAATATTAGGCAAAGAGAAGTTTTTTTATGAAAAAAAACATATAATTAGCTCCTTTTCTCATTTTATGACAAGATAATTTAGGTAAACCATGTTATTTTAACATCACAAATGCAATAAACTTGTGATTTTGATATATTTTAAGTATAAGTAAGGCATTTTTAGCTGACAGAGTGTTTCACAAACAAAATTCATCTTAATGATGCCTTTTCCAGGCAAGTGCAGATATAAAAAGGTGACAGTAGTGTTTATCTAGGGAGCCCCACTTTGTTTCCTAAGCTGATAGGCAAGTTTTTAAATAAAGAGAATTGTGAAAGAAAAATGTGTAAAGCAAGCAAGTTTTTGTAAATACATGATCTAAACAAAATCGCTTCGCCCATTATAGAGCAACGTGGTTCTGACCCTTTTCATAGAGGTTCAAAAGTGTTTGACTGAGGCACAAAAAGATTAGTACTCTAGGAAGGGTCACCAGTCCCATTGAAGAACTACAATCCAGGTGATCTAGGGTCATTGATCCAGAAACATATCATTCCAAAGGAACTCACCCCTACAGGAATGACAGAGTTCAGAGGCTGAAATCCCCCCTCTGCCATTTTTATCAAAAATTAAAATTGTTCTAAGGAAACATGCCTCCTGAGCCCAGTGAAGCTCCCCCTTCCTGTCCCAACCTGTCTTTGTTTCCCTCCCCTTACCATCCCTGCCTTGGAGCAATGAACCCCTTGCATTAACCCTTTACACCCTAACATCAGTATGCATATTCTCCAAACTTTTCTCTACATGTTTCCTGAGTTGCTGACAAGGAGAACTTGTTTAACAATCAAGAGCTGCTTCAGTTGGTGATCATTTCCTTTATTCTCGTGACCTTAATGTGTGATTCAAGGATGATATTGTTGGGAGAAATTAGATGCAAGTCACTCTTAGGGGTTAATGGGTTGAGGGATATCAAGAGATCAAAACTAAAGATGAAACTGGTGGATGGTGTGTTGGTTATAAACATTCTCTCAAACTTGAACAATTTTTTTTTATTAAAGACGGTTATTATAAGAATTTTTACAACCAGCACTGTAAATGTGCGATGAACACCATCGCCGTCAGTAAAACAGCCAGTCCTCTTCCAACAAAAAAGGCTAAAAGCATAGTTTGCATTTGGTTGAATCCAACCCAATTCGATCTTCGCGACTCATTTGGCGACGGTTTCGATGAAGTTGGCCAGTTTGACATCCTTTTCAGACAGTCCTCCACAGTCATGTGTGCTGAGTGTAATCTGTACTTTGTTGTACACGTTGAACCATTCAGGATGATGATCCATTTTCTCGGCTTGCAAACCAACACGTGTCATGAAACCAAAAGCTTGATTAAAATCTTTGAAAATAAATTCTTTGTAAATCGCGTCTCTTCCTTCCACCTCTGTCCACCCAAATTTAAGTAACGGAGAAAGCATCGCGTTTCTCTCTTCTTCTTCAAGTTTCAGGCGCTTTGGAGCAGGATCAGTCATGATTTCATAAACCCTTCCACAACGAAAATCAAAGCAAGTGAAACGAACGAAGAATTGTACGGTACGTAAACCAAATATAATTACTGTGGGAGGAGTGGGTTAGTTACTAATGCCTTAGTTACTAATTGGAACTATTTTATTCCGAGAACACATCCTATTACGACCTGGGATCACCAAAAATATTGATTCAAAGAAAATGTTTTAACTTGAATGATGATGTAAAATACATGGCAAAGACCCGTTTGATTTACCTGGTGTTGCTACTTTCCCCTCCCCGGTAGAGGAAAAATGTTCCCCTAACTCTCATGACCATCAGAGGAAAACTTTTTTAGCTTTTCCGCCAAACTCTGTTTATAGATCCAGTTCTGAGACGCTGGTTTTAAAATTTGAACGGGAAGCTTACTATATCATTCAAATCTCACCCAAAAAATGGCCATGTGTTCATTTCAAGTTAACCTACTTAGTACTTTCCGAAAATTTCGGAGAAGAAGTAATTTTTGACAATAAAAATCAACGGTAAAACACGACGTTTCGACCAAACTTCGGTCATTTTCAAGTGAATGGTAGGAATGTAACGATTAATATATATGTGCGTGTTAGAAGTGAAAAAGTTTTGGAAGTGTGAGCGGACAATAAGAACATACAATAAGAAATAATTAGAAGCTAATTTAAAACAAATAAAAATTAAAAACCTAATTAAAAACCTTTGCACGAATTGAGTCCGACTGCATCTTGAGAGTAGGTCTCAGTTCTTGAATAAAAAACATTTCATAAAGTAGGCAGTCAGATTTGTTCTAATACTGGAGGAAATTGACTGCTGATGTTATGTGTGGCATGATAGTCAGTGTGTCATCCAAATATCTCTTGATGTATGTGGGCATCTTGCCTTCATGCCACAAAGTATCCTCAGTGCTGCACATAAAGAAGTTGGCTAATAGAGGACCAAGGGGGGAGCCCATAGCATCTCCGTTTGTTTGTTCATATAAATGACCGTCAAACAAGAAAATTTGGTCCTTTGTCAGCGCTCTAAGAAGATCGACAATCGATCGGTGGTGAGTCTCATTAAACCAATATTATCAAGTTTCCCATTCTGTTGCTTTAGGAGAGTTGCCATGGGAGAACCTTTTTGTTCTCCTGACCGATCCCAGCTCCGTAAGCTAAAATTTCCCCGAGGTAATCTCCCACAATAAAAATCAGTCATACTTACAAACTTAAGTTTCCCATGGGTGGACTGTCATCAAGTCTCGTTGCCAAAGGGCAATGGTCTGTTGTGTGACCACAGCTGTTGAGGCCACTTACCACCTATTGGCTCTTGGCCTACCGCGGAAAGTCTTTCCTTTATTGGCTACAACGCAAAAAATTGGATCGAACATGATAGCCTGAAGGTCATTCCTAATCTCGTACCCAGACCCTACCGCACAACCCCTTCTCTTCTACTACCGTCCACTCTAACTCTAAATAAAATATGACTGCTGTGACAGGTGTCCTAGGCCCCTTGCGGATTTGGAGCCCCCTAGATTTGTCCCCCCCCCCCCCCATCCAGATCCGTTAGGATGCCAATCGAATGAACAATCCCGAGAAGGTTACGTTACCTCGCCCTATAAAGACGCCTGTTCTTCAGGCTGCTCCAAACATTAACTCTTGTTTAATTGTTACTTCTTACTCCTCATTTTATGTGTCCGCTGTGTTATATAATTACTAATAATAGAAAAATACAAACAAGTTAACTAAACCCCCTCCCCCAGTAATCAATCTGTTTTCGCTCCGCGGACGAATTTACAACTGATCGATGACCATCAAATAACTCATTTCACGCAGCCTCGAACGCTTTGGATTTACCGGCAGAAAGCCTGACTCTTTTTCAGTTTATTTTCCTTCTGCAATTTCGGAAAGTTCCGGAAAGTTCCGGAAAGTTCCGGAAAGTCCATATTTTACAGCCACGTCACCGAGATTGACCGTGACGTGACCCTGAGAAAATGAAAGTTCTACCCTCGGGAAGTTTCTCCATGAGCAGAAGTGGGCAAAATGAATTCTGTTCTCGATTCTTCGGAGGAGAAAACAAATGGTACAAAACTTTTACGACTGGCAATCGATGGAGGCACAACCGTTCTGAGAAACTATTTAACGCGATCCATCATTCCTTCAACACTGCAAGACTTGCTCCTCAAACACAAAAGAAAGCTTGACTTCCTGAAATCAGTTAAGAAGATAATTACCAATAATCAGTGGAATCAGTTATTTCCTTCTACAGGCGTTCCACCAAACCCTCAAACATTTGACATAACTCTCTTGCATCTGTTATTACGGGAAGTTTGTGGTTTGACTGCACCAGCAGATGGATGGCACAAAATGCCTTCAGAAACTGATCTCAGTGTTGAAGCTAACATCGTCCGGATTAAGAACTTTCGAAATGAGCTGTGTCATGGAATATCCACCAGTGTTCCTAATGACAAATTCCAAGACAAACTGCACATGATTTCCCAATCACTGGTGGCCTTGGGACTCGATCAAAAGGAAGTGGATCGCCTTGCAACTGAACCTATTGATCATGACACTGAACGTCGAGTAAACGAGGAAGTCGAGAAGTGGAAAATAGAAATTGGACCACGGGTGAACAAGCTAGAGAATGACTATCAGATGATAAAAGGGGACATTTCTGCCATTCAAGCTTCTATTTCAGGGCAAGCCACAAGTAACCTTTCAAACTGTCTTCCGGATAAAAATAATGTCGTTGGCCGGTCCCAAGAGTTGGAAGAAATCACCGATGCAATTCGAACTGAAAGTGCAGCTGCAGTTCTTGTTACTGGGGGACCCGGGTTTGGTAAAACAGCTGTAGCAATTGAAGTGGGTCACGAATTAGTATCCAATGAGAATGAAGAGAGGACAGTTTTGTTTTGTTCACTCAGATCTAAAGCAGCCATTGCTGAAGTAGCTACCTCGATGATCCTTCCGTGCAGTGCAAACCTCTCTCAACCATCAGAACATCCCCAACATTGGCTCCGAAATTGGAGCAAACAACAGCAAAAGAAAGTTTCTTTCATTCTGGACAATGCAGATGATGTTCTCGAATCTGGTGATCGAACTGCATTTGTAACCATTTTAAAGGACATGAGAACTCTATCAAACCCTAAGATCACATTTGTTATCACGAGTCGAAAACTATTTCAATTAGACCCCAATTTGCGAATGGAATGTGTGAGATTGAGAACATTATCCCGTGAGCACGCACAGGAACTCCTCTTGTCCAAAGTCCTTAATCCAGATGTGAAACAGGGGCTCTCCAAGACAGATAAATTGGTTCAACTTTGTGGTTGTGTACCCCTAGCTTTATGCATCATTGGTTCGTTGCTTTTAGACTATCCTGAAGATCAGCTCATTGAACGCCTTGAGGAAAAGCCATTGGATGTCCTCAAAATGGATGAAAGTGATGAAAATTCTGTTGAAAAAGCAATTTACACTTCTTTCAACTTTTTGAGAGAACATGAACAAAAGGCTCTGGTACTTCTGTCAGTTTTTCCAGGTTCATTCAGTAATATTGCTGCCCAAGCTGTTATTAAGGCAGTTGATTGTCAAGGAGATCCTGGATCAATTCTCCGTTCCTTGAAAAACCGCTCTCTTATTGAGATACCAGCCCCATACAGATATCAAATCCATCAATTTATTCAAACATTTGCAAAGAAGATTGATGAAGCCTTACAGCTGCAGGGGGAAAAAGCGGCCTGCATCCACTTTATTTCCCACCTAGTGGACATTGCCACGTGCTACTGGAGCAAGGACAAGTGCCAAGAGGCAATTCACTCTTTTAACACAAACAGGCACAACTTTGAGTACTTCTTTCAGTTCTTCATCAAAGGACAAGAAAAACAAGATTCTCAACTGAAGAAAACTATGGAAAACTTAGTGGAGAAGATTTCCCAGACATGCACATTTTTAGAAATGTGTATTCTACCAAGTGATTATTTGAGGCACCTTATAGAGCTTGATCAGCTTTTGATGTCTTACCAACAGCCTGTCACTAAAAGAGTGGAACTTCTCTGCCTCCTAGGGCATGAGTATAGGAAAATCGGTAATCAAGATAAATACAAGAAGTTGATTGAAAAGGCTGCAGACCTACACTCAGAACACTCTGAAGAATTTGACAATGAGAAGGTGTCAGAGGCTTTCTTTTGCAATAATTATGCACGGTTCCTCTCTGATGTGAAAAACTGTTCCAAAGCTGAAGAACAATTCATTAAAAGTTTGGAGGTGTGTGAA